AGAGAGAGAGAGAGAGAGAGAAAAAGTCAAACACAGGGGCCCACTAGCTGTGGGCGACAAAAAAAAAAGATAAAAATCCCGAACTTTCTTCTAGCGCATGCAAGGACCAGATTGTCTTTTTAGTTTCAGTAAGAGTTTTACAGCACTAGCAACACAAAAAGGTCAAATAAGTGCCGAAGATTAGAGGTGTTACTACAAGAGAGTAACAAACACAAAAAAGGAGGAGGGGAGAAAAGGATGATAGAAGTTTGATAGGAAAGAAGAAGCAAACCACACCAGAGCACCCGCCAACCAACCACGACCATATTGCCCAATATACCACGTATCAAGAATATTTTTATATATAACAAAATGTGCAATCTGGCGGACAATTTCAGAGAGAAATAAGAACAGCCGAATACATTGTACAACACACGGTCCACAGACACCAGCCATGAGGAGGAGCAAATCCTGAAAATACAGGACGTATTCTTCGAAAGACATACAGACATAATTATACATTTCATTCACATATACATATATAATGATATATTAGATTAGATAGAGGGTCTACTACTGGCAGTGGTTGCTGCCTTGAGCGAAGTTGTAATACTGAAGAAGCGGTTGGAGATATGGTGCTCAACTGTGCCCGAACCATCAACAGGGCAGTTCAGATGTACACACACGCACACAAAACATGACGTGTACACACACATACACACATACAACACGACGTACACACATACATACACAGCACAGAACCATCAACAGGGCAGTTTAGATGTACACACACACAACACAACGTACACACACACACACACACAGCACAGAACCATCAACAGGGCAGTTCAGATGTACACACACACACACACACACACACAACATGAAGTACACACTCACACATACACACACACAAAACCATCAAACTCATTGTATATGTGTGAGGCATGCTGACAAAATGAATCACTTCATTAGAATTTGTTACGTCAATTCTATAGGTGTAGCCTGCACAGTTTATTTCATATACGAGGAGTTCACTGAAAAAATGGGCATAGTCACAAACTGGAAATTGTGAGGGAGTCAATTTTTCAAAGCTTGGGGACTCATAACTTCATATTTGTTGTTTGACGAGTGGTTTATTGTTAAGTGTTGTTGAATGGGAAATCTAACAACAATTATCAACCTACAGCTGAACAAAAATATGCAGTTATGAGTCAACAAGTGTTCAAAATTGGTACCCTCACCATTTTCCGTTTGTGACTATGCCCGTATTTTCAGTGGACTCCTCATATATATGTAACAAAACAAGACGGATTAAACTTGGTATTAGAAATGGCATCAATTGAAAAATGTACAAATTTGACCCAAGTTTCAATTTTCTGTCGACATCTTCCATTTGTGGATTGCGAGAGAGAAGTAACTAATTTTGGTCAGCATGCCTCACATTTCGTAAATACTTCACATCTCACACATAGTTGTCCCACACCCTCTCCACATTGGAGACATGAGGATATCAACGGTCACCCACTACATGAAGGTAGATACCGTTGAGCCTGCTAAAAAACGGCCACTTGTCTGAGAAAATCCTCTGTGAAGCGAGCTGACAAAATGAGTTGCTTCTGGGATCCAAGCCTTATTGAAAAAGATACATCACCTTTCAATATGAAGTTTTTACAGTTTAGAAGTAAGAGATAATAAATAAAAACCATGTTATACTTTTATTAAAGAATATGGCATCAATAGAAAATCTACAAATTTGACCCTAGTGTCGATTTTTGGCCAATATCTCCATTTGTGGATTGCGAGAAGTAACTCATTTTGTCAGCATATCTCTCAATTTTCTGTAGAATTGACCCCCCCCCCCACCCCCCCTTCGTCCCCTCTTCAATTTTTTAAATATGACACTGCCTAAGACAACCACTTTACTTTTCTCCTCCACAACGGCTGGCTGTATTGGACAAACACAACTGCTTTTGCATCGCTTTCAGACCAGCCGAGGCTGCAATCAGTCAAGTGACATGTGAAACGAACCCAATCTTCTACCCAAGAAGAAGAGATCTATGATATACACACACACACACATCACTTGCAACAAACATCTGGTGATTTTATTCAGACATTTGACAAGATGCAAATCAACATGCATCTTATCCTATACACATGTGAAGATGTACAATATCATTTTCAATAAAATTTCAGTTATTCTTTTAACCCTAACTCTGGCAAGTGGTTTCAACAGGAATGGCAGGGCCAGTCAGCCAAAACATGCACATGCTTTACAAATCAAATTTATGGACTTGCATCAAATAAAAACCCTACAAAAGTATATATTTTCTGAAAGAATTGAATGAACTTTTATATTTTGCCATTGAACATATGATTTTATTTTATTTTCAAGGGGTTATGTAACTTTGAAATCCAAGATGGCTGACATAAAAAATTTACATGCTCATTAGCATATTCACCAATCTAATGTATTTCTTGTTATAAAAAATGTGAGATAGCAGAAATATGGATTTTTCAATTACCTTTCAGAAAATGTATAGTTTTATAGGTTTGAGAAGAACAGGTAATGAGTTATGACTGTTTCAATTTGTCATGTGGTCTGTTTCGAGCGCAGCTGATACTAGCTAATTTTATACCAAACTCAACATAAAAACACTCTAAGTACAACCATGTGGTTTTCAGCAATCTGCTGGTAGTCTGTAATAATTAGTATAGCAAAAGGAACCTACTTTACTCTATAGCTCTCCTTTTTCTGCCCCTATTAGACTCCCAAAGTAGTAGAATCTAGTGTTCCATTTGAAACAGAAGTTGGGGCAGGATGAGAACTGGTACATGTATCCCCATTGTCTGTCAGATCTAATCTCAATCTTGACTGAACACCAATAAATCCACCACTAACAGTGTCTGAATTACTTTCCCTAGTCAATTCACTTTCAAATGTATCCAAAAAAGATCGATTTTTGGCCATTTTAGACCCACACAAGTGATAGATCTACACTGGCATTAGTGGCTTGTGACCTGATCAACAAGCTTTCAAAACATCCCTCTGTTTTGAAAGCAAAATACTCTTCTCCTAAGCCAGAATGGTAGAAATATTCTGATTGGTTGGAGGTTAGCCTTTTAGCCTATCAGAAATCACTTTAGGAAGCCCCAAATATTTAGTTGGAAGGCAGAAGCAGCAGTTTTCTATATGGTCCTATGAGATCGGCCCTGCCAGTTTCATGGCAGGAAATGGGCCGATCTAATCGGCCCTTGCCAGAGTTAGGGTTAAAGAATTGAAAAACACAATTAATTTCAGCAACCTGACACAGAAGATGTGCGACACATTCCACACAGCTTTGGTCAATATCTGAGATGAGATCCACAAACCGACACAACCCCACTCTCCTCCATGGCAAAAACTCAGATAATAAATCAAATAAATGGTTTATCACATTTCAATACATCGCAGCACACCCCCACACCCCCAAATTTGAGCACTGCAGGGAGGTGACCAGCAATGGCGAGCTTCGTAAACTTGTCTATATTGGTGGGATATTGTCTATTTGGCAACTTCCGTCACGGTCTTTATTTGTATATTTGTGTATTTAACTCATTCAGGGCTACGGACGAGAATACTTGCAAAACCTGGGCCCCGCCCACAAACTAGTGACGAGAATTGTCACAAGAATTGTCACATTCTGCCTTGCTATCTTTAGAAAGAATTACTCTTTTTAATCCACACCAAGTTATTTTACTAACCGTGATGCATTATGGGAAAGGTCAAGGAGACATTTGTGAGATAGCGCGGTGGAATCAGGCTCTCGTCAAAATAATCAAAGTGAAGAAACTTGCATTTATCCACACGTTTGTTAATTTGTATCAAATTTTTGGTTTTTGGTTCAACACCTTTCATGCCCATTAAAAATCTCAGTTCTGTGTGGATTTTTCTGAAAAATGTTGATTAAAGCCACAAAAAAAGTAAATTTTCAGCTACCATGGACTCTTAAGATAAGGTAATATCTAATCTTTGGAGGCCATTTTCTCACTAATTTTACCTCTGAAAACAGGTGACCGGCACCTCCTTCATTCGCTAATACCTCGACTTGCATTCAAGATAAATGGATATTTTTTTCATCCAAATCAAGAAAATTGAACAAGCTTTAAGATGACACCAATAACTCTACATGCCCAAAAATTGACGAAAGCCTGATTCCAGCACGCTGTCTCACATTTGATCTGCAGGAACAGCCATTAAGCCGCTAGTTTTGACAGATTTTCCTGGGTAGACCTCATTTCCTGTTGCCGTAACACAACTGTCCAGCGTGTGAGGGGAGTTCACTGCAGGAGCGCTCAGCACGGAATGAGTTCATCTAAATGTGCATGTTTCTAGGTGTTCATGTTAGGCATCTGTGTACTGTATGCAAGTGTGCAGGCGATTATAACCCAACACCCCCCCTCCCACAGAGATGAATAAAGTAGAATCTGTTATTCATCTATTTATTCGTGCGACCCATTGACCCTGAATATGATCCAAGAACACAACCGTACCACAGTCAGCGAGGAGATCATGAATCAATGTTTTACAGACAGAGGAGCTCATGTTTTACAACGTTATGAAAACCATCAACCCTCACGGCTCTGCTTATCCACACCAACCGTTCACACACACATACACACACACACACACAAACACACACACAATCTTAGCGAACGTCTCACATACTGTCTCGTCAACTCAAAGTCACTTCACTCAGCAAAGATCTCCCACACCCTGTGACCACCTCAAGGTCAGCTCACTTGGCAAACGTCTGGTAGAAGGCGATCTTGATTCTCTCGATGAGGTGACACAGTTTGATGGCAGGGCCCAGCTTGACCCCCATGTACTCCTGGACGTTGGGCAGTGTGAGCAGCAGCAGAGCTTGGCCGTCGATTTCCTGTGGGGGAGAGAGAGACACAATGAAATGTCACACTGGGACGCCACTGTCTTTTTTTTTACAGCACTGGCAACACAATCAGGTCATATCATACAAGTGCCACATTTAGTAGACCTGCATGTGAGCCTCAACCAGATTGTCTGAAAATTTTAAGCAACCCCCCCCCCCCCAAAAGCCTTTGTGGGTGTCATAAGGAAGGACATCCGAGTAACGAGCGACCACCCCAACAAACACAATAAAGAAGAGACCTAACCCTAACCCTACCCCCAAAAAGAACCTGCAACGGGCCTCATGTAAAAAGCCAAAACAATAAGTCCTAAATGAAAAAATTTTAAAAATAAAAAAACCACAGTCCAAAACAAACAAGGAGCATGTAGATCTAGATCTATATATGGCTTACATCTACATTGCTGTAGGGTTTGATACAATAACACAATAGAATTGGAATATGAATCCTCCATTTAGACCTAGATCTAGTAATCTAAAATAAATCTAGATCTAGATCTAGATATCTAGATGTTGTAGAACAAGTGAATAGGAACAGGCCTTGAACTAGAAATCCTCAACCGATTCCGAACAGAGGGACTCAGCTGAGTCTAGATTCTAGATTTAGATCTAAATAAATAAATAATTCACGCACCTGATGAAATCCTTTTTACCCACATTAATATTACAGCACAACCTATGATAGGGTTTGACAAAATAGAATTGGAATATGAATCCTCCATTAAGGTCTATAATGATCTATATAAATCTAGATCTAGATTCTAAACAAGAGAGTCGGACTTGAATGAATCCACACGATCTGAACAATTGAATTAGTCAATAAACGAAATTCAAAATGGCTGCTCGAGCACGAAACTGAAAGTAGATAATTTAGGTCATCGTTCTTTTTCGTATTCGCATTTCTACTTAGGTTCCGACAATTATGTCGGAAACGCCGACGTCGGCACGAAAACGAAAGTGCTGACGAAAGCCGACGGGAGAAAAAAGGGTTGCTGGCAGTCGGCCAGGCCTCGCACTTCGCACATTGACTGAAACAGGCGGGCCTAGCGATAGCGTCGGCCGGTTCGCAGGTCGGGTCGCGATTGTCGGATTTCAGACGATTGTCGGCAAACATGCAGGTCTAATTTAGAGGTGGTAAAATTAAAAGAGAGTAATGAACACAAAGGAGAGATAAGGATGAAAGACGTTTGATAGGACGGAAGGAGCACAATCTACACTTAAGCACCTGCCAACCACCCACAGAGAGAACTTGTTTTAGTCAGGTTTTACGGCGGTTGCAACTGCATAAGGTCATATGAGCACCAAGGGGTGGATGTCAACAGAGAAATCTGCGCCACCACCAGCCAGTATCACTCACTTCCATCCTGAGGCGATGAACGAGCTCTCGGTCAGCACAGTCCGTCGTCTGTAAGAACTCCCCGACCTCTGACACCGACCACTCCAGCGGGTTCTTCTCCAGCCTCAGCGGCGCCTCCGACTTCAAGGCCACCGGCTGAGCCGGCCGGGACGGGCAGAAGCTGCTCTCTACCGCCGGGGTCACCCCGAGGTCGCGACTCAGCGAGGAACTTCTCGAGCCCTGAAGGGAGACAAGACGGGATTGGTTGAACAAAATTGTCCGCAAGCTCTTCACATGTCCGGGGCCAAAACAACTTGTTGTAGGGAAGAGACTGTACCGTTACCATTATTACTGTTTTATAAAAATATATCATTCTTTCAACAATTGTACCTTTATTATTACTACTATTTTATATCTATATACAGTCGAACCTGCCCTGATGGCCACCTCTATAAGACGGCCACCTGTATAAACGGCCACTTTCCATTTCCCCCCTTGCGTTTTTTCTATATAATTTAACTGTGTAAAACGGGCACCTGTCCAACGCGGCCGCGGCCACGATAATTTGACACACAACCCCTATCATACTAAGCAATAACACCTGTCAAAGACGGTCACCTTTGTGACTCCATTACGTTTTGTCATAAATTGTGCATTGGCCCCTGGCGTTGTGGGCGAGCTGTCATAATTCAATCACCTGTCGTTGTTGTTACATGGTCCCTCCAACCGATCATGTTGCGTAGGCCCCTCCCACTGTTGACCAATAGCTACCAATTTTCAGCTGCTGGTGAGGTAAGCGTGTGATCCCTCATAACCCATAAGCCCCGCCCAGAACTCACACACAAATCGTGAGATGAGTGGTCACTGTTTACCCAGTCTGTAACAGAGTGACAAAGAACGTCAACATGAACTTGTGACAGAAGCGTCCCTCGTTCTCCGAGTGGTGGCGACCCATGTGTTTGTTTTAACATGGCACTCGGTCTTCCTTGTCTGATACATTTCGTTTTATTGTCACCCTTGTGCAAAATCAGCGACAAAATAAACGAAACACAAACGATAGGTCGTTAAGCCACAGTTGCCCACGGTTAGAAAAATCCTGCTCACTCAGTTCTCAATATTTAGATTAGAAATTTTGCAAAATACAGTGAAATGACATGGACGTTACGAAAACTATTTTTCTAAAATCGTAGTTGGTTTACCACAAAAGATAGCCTATTTGGGCTTTGTATTTATCTCGAGCCCCAGAGGAAACAAAAAATCATGTATTTACAGCACGCTGACATGCTGGTCATTTTTTACCACTTTTTCGACACAGACAAGTCCGGTGTTATTGACGAACTGAAAACAGCTCACTCACAAATCTCTTGAAAACACACTGTCATAATAATATAAAGGCGTGTACTCTGTCGAAACATACAAGAGGGGCCTGGGTGAGACGACATAAAAGAATGGCTTTGTACCAACAGCATCGAGTTCCCAGAGCACGCTTTAAAACCAGAACTTTTGCAAATAGTCAAAAGTCTAAATCGACCCAAGATCTATACTATTGATAAAGTCATAGCTTTTCATGGACACACGAGCCTGAGACTTCCACCGTACCATTCCCATTTAAACCCTATCGAGTTGGTTTGACCAAGGATTAAACACGATGTCGCTGACAAAAATATGACTTTCAAAATAGCGGACATCATAAGACATTGACGACGAATGCTATATTTGACGTAGACAGACACTACTGGAAGAAATGTGTTGAACACGTCATGGCAGAAGAGAACAATTATTGGAAAACTGACGGGCTTGGATTTATTCAACAAAAGATGGTTATCAATCCCTTTGGGTCCGATTCTGAGGACGATCAATGACTCATCTCCTTTTCAGGTGAGTTTTTATCTTTTTAAAACTTAAAAGTGTTAGCTGTCCATTATAACCAAAATATTATTTTTATGCCCTTGGAAAGTTATTTACGTTTTGTTTGTCTCGTCAGCCTGGACTCGTTCACCTTGGTCCCGGTGACTTTCTTGTAATTCATACATTTCCTACGAGTTCCGCCCCTGCTTTGTAAAAGTTTGTGTTGCAACGAAAACCAGACATTTTCTCCGTGTCATCGTATGTTACTTCTATTGTAAAACTTCTATTATAAATCTGACATAGTTTCGGCGAACATCAAAGGAACCCTGTCGGAACCTAACTTGTAAAGGTTTCTCAACCACAAAATTTAGAATCTGTAACGTCCAGTAAAATCTAACACTATATGGAAAATTTCAAAGCAATCAAACAGAGGACTTCGCGATGATTCGCTCTTAGGTGTGGGCAGCTGAGGCTGAACGACCTATAACAACAACAACACCAACAAAGACAACATAATGGGGCTACTTTCGATTGGGGCCTCAGATGGGAATGGTTTGTTTTCTTTATCTTGATCAATCCTGCCTAAGACGGCCACCTGTCTTATACGGCCACTTTTCTCCTTGACAATGGGTGGCCGTCTTACACAGGTTTGACTGTATATTCTTTCAACAATGTTACCTTCATTTTGTATCTTTCTTTTTTTTTCAACATTTAGAATTTCAATGTCCACACAATATTTCTCAAACACATGCACAGGCACCACAGAATCAGAAACTGCAATTAAATATTAAAAAAAAAGACTTTTTAGATTACTATGTCTGAACAGTGGGCCGGCCAACATTTCAGGCCCCCATCAACACAACTTAGGCATGATAGGACGTCAATGTGTTATGCTACACAATCAACCGGATTTAGACAAGATCGGTTTTTATAGTCCGGAAAGAAAGAGCCAAACAAAAAACCTATTCAACAAAACTAATGAAACAAATTTTAAAAACCAAACAAAATGCAAGCCCTTACATCTTTGTGGGACTTGAGAAGCGAGGTCTGCTGGGACCCCTCCACAATCATGATCTTCTTGTGCGTGCGTTTCTCAAAGCTGTACTTGGGCAGCTTGGCTCCGCGTGTCTGGATCTCCGAGGGGGGCGGGATGTGGTGGGTGTAGCGGCGCTTCAGGTTGGCGCGCGACAGCTTGCTCATAGACTCGCTCGCTTCTTTGGAGCCCGTCGTACTGGTGCTGTCTGCCGTTCTTGTGTCGCTGCACACGCTGGCCTGGGGGGAGGGTAACTTGTAATTATTGACTTTGTCAAGTAGAGCAAGTTTGGGGAAGTCAAAGAAGAAGAAGTCCATGACAGTCACACTTTTCTCCATGTTATGTTGAAGGACATTTATGGAAATGTTGGAACCACAGAAGCAAATAGTGCAACATTCAACAAGAATGCACAGTAAAAAAACATTAAACACCCCCCCCCAAAAAAAAAAGAAAAGAAAAACCCCTTTCAAATTTGATTTTTACAGTACAGCTCAGAAATAAATTAGTAAAAAAGTATCTTCTGCCAACTAAGCCACAAGACGGTAATGATGAAGCAATGAGCAAACCAAATCATCACAGCATTTCTGTCTGTCTGTCTACAGGTTTGGCATCATCACAGACCGTCTAGGTCCATGGATGCTTCCCCCTTCTCCTCAAAGTCCATCCGCGTATGGTTCTAGTTTGAGTCTCGCCTGAGACCCGCCAGGGAGGACCAACACAGGTCGTTCCATCTTCCTGTTCCCGCATGGCTCTCCTTCTCCCTCACTTCCACAAGTGTGTGGGAATTGTATTCCGTATAAAGACAAAACCGACCTTTTTGAAAAAAGACAAAACCCACCTTTTTGAAAAAAGACAAAACCCACCTTTCTGTATAAGCCCACCTTTCCGTACAGACAAAAGTATAACGACAAAACCTACTTTATCATCATCTGCGTTGTCCTTGGGCTCATCCATCAGAGGTCTCGTTGTACGTTTTGCGATCATCCCAATCTTCTTCCGCTTCTTCCTCTTCCCCGGTTTCTTCTGCCCGTTCTCCAGATTGCTGTGCCCACCTGGCGGCCGACCGATCTTCTTCTTTCTCTTGCCGTAATAGTACGCTGATGGGGGGGGGGGGGGTGGAGAAGAAAAAAGAAAATTCCTCCATCTGTAAACCAGGCATTGGCAAACTGCTGCCCACGGGTAGTTTCAATCTACTCTCAGAACATGTTTCAATCTGCTACTGGTATGAGCTGCTGAAAGCAGTTGAAATATCCAACCTCTCAAAAGTGAGACTAAAATGGACAGACACTATGGCACAGAGGGCAGGAAACGAGGTGAAAGGAGACAATTTTAGAGAAGAAAAATTTCTGTCGCTATCCCGATTTGAACCCGGGACCTATTGAATGAGACGTCAACACCTTAACCTGTAGGCCACGAGAGCCCCCTTGTGGCACGTCTAATAAAAGATGGGTAAAACGAAAACTGCACGTTACGTCTTGAGCTAGCCCCCCCCCCCCCCAACACAACAATCACCACACCTTTCCACCCAGTGACCCCCCCCCCAATCAGACAACCCCACTCACTGTACTTGGTCTTGGTGAGCTGTGAGCAGTTCTCTGGGCAGACCTCGCTGATGTAGTGTGGGCTCACCAGATTGGGACAACACTCCAGTTTGATGCAGACGTGCCGACAAAAATCCTCCAGCTGTCCCGCCGTGCGACAAATCTCCACCACCGCGCGATAGCTTTTGCCCTTGTACCTGAGGAAGAAAAAAAAAAGTTAAATTCTCTTACTTTTCTACATTTCTTCGGTACTTGCAACACAAATAGGTCATATAAAAGGTTGTTTAAAAAAAATAATAAATGTTTAACGCCATTTGCAACACAATAAGGTCACTTAAGTGCTGAAGATTAGAGGTGATTACAAGAGAGGAACAAACACAAAAAAGGAGGAGATAAAGACGATAGATGTTTGATAGGAAAGAAGAAGCAAACCACACCAAAGCACCCGCCAACCACCCACTTTTAAGAGGTGTTATAGAAAGTTAACATTCAAAACAAAGAAGGAAGAGACATAAGGACGATAGACATTCGTTTGTTCGAGTCAACAGAAACACAATGACACAATCATAGCATTAAGTGCCGCGAAAAAGTACGGCAGACAGACACAACCGAGAGATGGTACAGAAACAGAACCTACCAGTGGCGCCCTCTAATCACCCTAAATAGATGTTTAGTAAGAGAGAAGGAAGTTGAGGGATAAATCTGCTATATAAATTCCCATTGTTACTATGATAGTAATAGTTGGAATTTAGACTATCTTATTATTATTACAACTATCAAAACTCGATTATTGTAACTCCTTGTTATCAGGAATATCACTGGAGAAAGTGAAAAGACTTCAAACTGTCCAAAACAATGCTGCACGATTAGTTTTACGGAAAAGAAAGCGAGACTCTGCTAAACCTCTTTTACGAACTTTGCATTGGCTTCCTGTTGAGAAAAGGATTGTGTACAAGTTGGCCACCATATGTCACAAATGTTTGAATGATAATGCACCATCATATTTATCAAATCTGTTAAGACTGTACATTCCCACTCGCAGTTTAAGGTCATCAGCTGACAAAAAGAAAATTATTTTACCATCTATGAAACTTAAAACAAAGGGTGAAAGGGCATTTGAATACCAAGGCCCCAAGATCTGGAATGCTTTGCCAAGTACGTTGAGAGAAATCAAATCTTTTGATTCATTCAAATGTCAGCTGAAGTTGTTTCTGTTTTTAAATTAATACAATGAATATTTGGAATAATTTTGTTTCAGTCAAAACACGTTTTATGTTACTGTTGTACGTTGTACTGTATTGTAAAGCGCCCAGAGCCTGTGCACTTAAATCGGGACTGAGCGCTATATAAATATAATTTATTATCATTACTCTGCGTACTTTGCTTTGAGCATCTGCTGCGTCATGGTGGGGTCGGGCCGGCCCTCCAGCTGTAGCTCTCGCAGCACGCGGCACGACTTGTATGCCGTGTTGATCAGCAGGGAGAGCACCTCCGTCATGACCAGAGTGACGGGCCCTGGGCCCACGCTGCGGGGAAGCTCCGCGATGCGACCTTTGCTCAGGTACGGCCCGGAGAAGCAGCGGTGGTTGAAGTAGATCTGGGGGCCTCCGTACAACTCTGGGCAGGAAAAAAACAAACAAACAAAAAACGATGTTAGGATAAAGTCAGATTGAGGCCCGAAAAGTTGGTGGTTTGTTTGTTTTTGTTTTAGTAAGGTTTTTAGTTAGTTTTGGTAAAGTTTTACGGCACTTGAAGCACAATAAGGTCATATAAGTGCCAAAGAGTAGAGGTGTTACAAGAGAGCAACAAACACAAAAAAAGAAGGAGGGGAGATAAAGATAGATGTTTGATAGAAGAAGGAGCAAACCCAACCAGAGCACTTGCCAACCACACACAGTAAGGTTTCACGGCGCTCGCAACTGCATAAGGTCATATGAGCGCCAAGGGGTGGATGTCAACAGAGAAGTTTAAATAGGGAATCAGGCTTACTCTGCTCACCAGCACAAAGTCTGCTTCGACTATCAAGGCACCCCGGAAATAGCAGGTCACAAGAGAGTGACAGACATACAAAAGAAGTAGAGAGGAAATGACGATAGTAAGGATTAGGAAAGAAAAAGCAGCAGTTCCCCCTATGTTGTTCCGGCACAGTATGAGCATGGCATTGACAAATCAGCCCATTTACAATTCTATTGTGCATAAGAACATGTTAATGTCCCCCCTTTTGGAAAGGCCTTCTCTGACTCTAACATGCACAGGGGGGTTCATCGGGGTCACAGTCAGGACAACAATGTATCAGATGATGATGCTTCAATCTTGCTTACTGCTGCCACTCCACACCATGCGGGGATACCAGAGACGCCAACTCGCGACCTCAGCGTTTTCTTGTCCTACCTCCATTTTTTTAAACAATGAAAATGTGACATCTTCTTAAGCTCACTCTTTGTTATGAATTATTTTCACTGTTGTCAAAAATCTTTTTTGACCTAGAAAAAGCCTTCGACACAACCTGGAAGTACGGCATTCTTCGAGACCTGCACGCACTCGGCATACGCGGTCACCTCCCTGCCTTCATTGGCAACTTCCTGAAGAACCGTTCCTTCCAGGTTCGTGTCGGATCCTCCCTTTCAGACCCCCACCAACAGGAGGAAGGAGTCCCCCAGGGGAGCATCCTTTCTCCTCTCCTATTTGAAATTAAAATAAATTCCATAGTGAAAACCCTCCAAAACAGCATAGGCAGCTCGTTATACGTTGACGACTTCTTGATATGCTGCAGATAAAAAAATCCTCATTTGAGATCTATGGAAAGGCAGCTGCAAACGCAGCTGCACAAACTTGAAATGTGGGCAAACAATAACGGTTTCAAGTTCTCCCCGTCAAAGACGGTTGCAGTACACTTCTGACGAACAGGCAGACGTGTGCTGCAGCCGGATTTGACACTATACGGGGAAAGGATTCCCGTCCAGGACCAAGCTCATTTCCTCGGCGTCATTTTCGACAAAAAACTTACATTCATACCACACATCAAAGACCTTCGTGTGAGGTGCCAGAAAGCGTTAAACGCTTTGAAAATTCTATCGAATCCGGAGTGGGGCGGGGACTCAAAACACCTTCTCCACCTGTACATCTCCCTTGTCCGGTCCAGGCTTGACTATGGCTGTCAAGTCTACGGATCGGCAAAACCACACGTCTTAAAAATACTAGATCCAATACAGAACCAAGGACTCCGCCTCGCTCTGGGGGCTTTCCGCACTTCTCCGGTGGAGAGCCTCCAGGCCGAGGCCAACATACCACCACTCTCACTCAGACGCACACAACTCTCACTACAATACGCAGTTAAACAGAGCTCAACACCGGAAAATCCAGCGCACAACAGCATTTTTAAAACAAATCCAGAAACCAGAAACAAATTCCAAAACAACGAAAAACTCATCAAACCCTTCGACCTCAGAATCCTTGAGGACCTCAAAAACTTAAACTTTTCCAAAAACAGACATCCAACAAATTCTTTTCCCCGACCTCCCTCCGTGGCACCTCACCAAGGCAAAAGTAGACTTACAGCTGACCACACACAACAAACAAAGCACAAACACCAAAACTTTTCAAGCAGAATACAAAAAACTAATAGATAAATACCCCGTGCAGAGCTCATCTTCACAGATGGCTCCAAAAAAGACAATGAAGTGGGCGCCGCAGCCCTATCTTCCAACAGTACACACCAGAGGAGACTCCATCCTGAAGCCTCCATTTTCTCCGCAGAGGCCACTGCCATTGACATGGCACTGGACTCTGTAGAAAATTCTCCTAACAAATCTTTCCTTATCCTTTCTGACTCTCTGTCTTGCATCACCTCACTCACAAAATACACACTTTTACACCCAAAAATAGTTAGGCTACAACAGAAAATACACACACTATCCGAAACATGAAAAAACATCATGTTCGCATGGATACCCAGCCATGTGGGCATCCGAGGAAACGAACAGGTAGACGACCTGGCGAAGAAAGCTTCATCCCTTCTGCTGGGATCAACGACAAACAGCCCCCCCATAGACTGACTTTAGAAATAAAGTCAAAAAGTACACCTCCAGTCTGTGGGAGAGCCGCTGGGAAAACCAGAAAAATAATAAACTATATGTTATAAAACCCAAACTAGAACAGCGAAATCCTTCGGATCTCTCCAGAAGAGACGAAGTCATTTTTACTTGATTGCGCATCGGACACACAGCCCTGACCCACAAATACCTCCTACAGGGAGATGAGAAGCTGTTCTGTGTCGGATGCGACACAGATTTTACCATTAGACACATTTTAACAGAATGTCTGGACTTTGGAGAGATCCGAAGGAAATATTATAAATGCAAGAAATTGCAGGATATTTTTTCCGTCGTTGTTCCCAGCAGAATTAAAAATTTTATAAAGGCCATTGGCCTTTATGGCGAGTTGTAGAGTGAATTTGGTATTATTTAAAATGTTTATTGTTACTTAAAAGTTGTTTTAGATCACAAATGTATTTACACCGAATTTAAATATTTTAACTTTTTAGCATTTTAAAGTAAATTAGTTAACCAGCCGTGAAGTGAACTTTTGCGAAAGTGAAAAACTTGTGGTTCGCGCGCTCGTATGACCTCAGCAGTTGCGAGCGCCGTAAAACCTTATACTATACATACATACATACAAAAATGGAGATACGACAAGAAATCACAGGGGTCGCGAACTGGCTACAAAAATAAAATCAAGAACTTTCAAAACCATGTGAAAAAGCCCGCGGGTGGACTCAAAAGTTACAGATCCCTTTGTCTAATACACCTGGTATCAAGGCTGTTTTAACACTGTGCAGTCTCTTGGCACAATAATGCGCAGGAGAAAATTATCATGTCTGGTCTCCTAGCTGGTTGACCAGATCGGGTATTTTATTCTGCTGGCTGTGTGACTGCAAAGTGCTAATATAAAGTTCTACAACTTCTCAACATCTACCTAAATCGACATTTTACGGTCTACAGGTAAATATCCATAAACACACTCTCCAGTCAAAGAAGAAACAAAGGAGAGGAGAAACGGACACTTCCACGTACAGAGTAACAAACACACAAAAAAAAGGAGGAGGGGAGATAAAGATAGATGTTTGATAGGAAAGAAGGAGCAAACCACACCAGAGCACTTATAAATATCAATAAACACACTCTCCAGTCAAAGAAGAAACAAAGGAGAGGAGAAACAGACACTTCCACGTACAGACACACGTTTTCGACAACTCACCTCTGCCCGGCGCGCTCGGAAGCTGTGGGGTACTCTCACTCTGGGCTTTGTCGGCCATCCTGCACGGTGGGGGAACAAAGAAAAGTGTCGTTATACATTACACGTCTTGTAACACTTTGAAGTCACACAGACAGCAGTACAAAATACCCCATCTGATCACCCAGCCAAGAGAGTGACTGCAAAGGGGCTTACAAGTGCGCCAGGTGACCGGAACGGATAATTTTTACCAGGGCAGTATCGCGCCAGGTGACCGCACAGTGTTAAAAGTGCTTATTGCACACCAACCATGCTGATCCACTACAATCTGAACTTGATTCATCATCATCATTGGCTTTCTCACCCTGGATCAGGAGGTAGGCCACAAACAAACACTTTCCACCTTTCCCTTGGACTTAATTGCAGTGTAAAAAAATAATGAAATTTGGAATGACAAGAGAACATTGAGTTATGGCTCATCAAAATATCATCATCCTCATCAGTGCCTTTCACACCTGGCATGGTATAGGCCACATACAAGCTCCTTCCATTTATCTCTGTCCTGGGCCATCCTTCTACGCTTGTTCCAAGTGAGCTTCATCTCTCTCATGTCCCTTTCCACACACCTCCTCCACGTTTCCCGTGGCCTAACCCTGCCCATTACACATTACACCTCTTTTAAAAGTTCTTACTGCACACCATTAGAAAATTCCATCAATCTCTGACCCCTGATTACACCTCTTTTAAAGTGCTTATTACAACCAAAGAGTTTACATAATAAGAGGGGCCACTTCTCTCTTTGAGCCAATTAAAAAAGTGTCCTCAAAATTCGATGGCGCCCTCTTCGCAAAAGCGCACCTTTAGCGAACAGAGTTATCCTACTTGAGTTTAAAAAATCAAAGTGAAACTAGCAAGTTTTTGAATAAATTTCGGAAGAACGCTTTTTTAAAATGGTTACGCTGACAAAAAAACCTCTTCCGGAGGAAAGGGTGATTGTTTTCTTCGTTTAATTTGACTTTAGAATGAAAGGCGAGAGGTCATTAAAATTTAAAAAACCTAAAACTCCACACTGAACGAACTCGAACTGCGGATGACCAGCAGTCGATCTGCGCACGCAAGGAGGTGCTATTCCTATTCTTCTTCTGGTAAAACGAAAGAGAGCTTAAAAACAGACTGCAGCGCCATCTGAAGCAAAGAGCATACTTCCTGCGGACACTTTTTTGGCTGAGTGGCCCATCTTGTTATTCACTGTCTTTGTTACAACCAACCATGTTGATCTGATACAACCTGAACTAGATTACCTTACAGTGAGAACCCCCCCCCCCCCGAAATTTGAAACGACAAGAAAACATTGAGTTATGGCTCATCAAGCCTGATTATTCTCCAATGTAATTTTAATGAAATGTGCCCGATACGCCACACGCAGTCCTTGAAAGTTAACAATTTCACATTTCACAAGAGTGTAAATTCAAAACGTGTAGTGTCTTGGTTTTAACGTTTCTTCCTCATTTGTGTAACTGAGGGTACTTTAGTCCAGAGTTGAGAACTTGACGGACAAACAGTGTACGAGCCCCACCACGTACTATAAGGCCCATGTCATAAATACAAAGTCTAAAGGAAACATTTAGGGCCATTTCTGTTCCCCTCTAGTCTGTCTCGTCCCCACTCTCTTATCCCGCGACTCACTCGGGCTGCACCACAGCGACTCTCTTCCTGGCTGGGGCCGAGCCAATCACGCGGCCCGGTGGGCGGAGCTGGAAACCGTTGCTGACACACCAGCCAATGGGGAAGAGGTTGAGTGAGTGCACACTCTCCACGTGGCCATCCATGGTGCGTTTGCCGCTGTCCAGGTGTACCCAGACCAGGTGCTCCACAAGTTTGGTCACTGTGGCCGCACAGATCTGGCCCGGCTGTCGAGGCTTGACCGCCTCCAACTTCATGCCACACTCAAACTCGTGGTCAGGTTCTTCCTGGGAAAACAAACGGGGGGGATGTCTGGGTGAGATTTACTTTGAGTTACGCTAGGAGCACAATATTACACAATGAGGTTTTCCTGTAGACATACACAAAGAACGGAGCATGTAACAGTGGGTGTTTTACTGTAGACATACACAAAGAACAGAGGATGTAACAGTGGGTGTTTTACTGTAGACATACACAAAGAACAGAGGATGTAACAGTGGGTGTTTTACTGTAAACATACACAAAGAACAGAGCATGTAACAGTGGGTGTTTTACTGTAGACATACACAAAGAACAGAGCATGTAACAGTGGGTGTTTTACTGTAGATATACACAATGCAGTTGCGAGCGTCGTAAAACCCTCTACTATATATTTTTAAAAAAAGACATACACAAAGAACAGAGCATGTAACAGTGGGTGTTTTACTGTAGACATACACTGTGGACAAAATAATCAAATATTAGTGTTTTACTGTAGATATACACTATAAACACAGCATCAAACTGTTGTTTGAATGTAGACATATACTAAGGACACAACACCAAACTTTGGTGTTTTACCGTAGATATACACAATAAACAGAGCACCACACAGACCACCAAAAAGTGGTGGTCAATCACAGACTTTCGCTACAGGCAAACCACCAACACAAAGGTGCAAACACTGGAGTTTTATCACGACATAATAATATACTACCTTTTTTTAGTAAGTGTTTTACGGCACTTGCAACACAATAAGGCCATATAAGCGCCGAAGATTAGAGGTGTTAAAGAGAGTAACAAACTTTTAAAAAAAGGAGAGATCAGGACGATAGATGTTTGATAGGAAAAAAGTAGTAAACCACACCAGAGCACCCGCCAACCACACATACATAACGTGTATTGCTCTTGAGAGTATGCATCTATATAAATCCAGGGGTTTTGTACTTAAATTCACCCATGTGGACGAATGATGTATTTGATGTGATATGTACATTACGTCAGCTTTACTTCTCAGGTTCTGTACAGCCAAGAAAAATTTCCCTCTGGGATAATAAAGTATTATCTTATCTTATCTTATCTTATGCTACAAACAGGACACCAGACAGTAAAGTTCTACCAGCGACGTACCAGATTGAACAGCTCCTCTGGGGCGGCCACAGCCCCGGTCAGTCTCAGATACTTGTCCCACTTGAAGTCCGCGCCTTCCCAACCTGGACACACACACAGAGAGCCAAGAGTTAACGATGTACTTGTGCCAGGGGTCCTGCAATCAACTTCCCACCAAATTCAAGGAAGTATCAAGGAAAATTGTAAAATTCAAGGAGATTTGGGCAAGAAATTAATGCCGCTTTCGACGGCGCCCTGAGAACAATCTGATTAAAATTTTGTTCGTGTTCGATCTGGCAAAGTTCATGGAGTTTTTAAGGAGATTTTTCCTTGCTTTAGTAAGAGTTTTACAGCACTTGCAACACAATAAGGTCATATAAGTGCCGAAAAATAGATGTGTCACAAGAGAGTAACATACACAAAAAAGAAGGACAGACAAGGACGATAGATGTTTGATAGGAAAGAAGGAGCAAACCACACCATAGCACCCGCTAACCACCAACTTAACAAACATCTCCAGCATAACCAAGCAATCTGACCACTCAAGACATAACTAACAATAGAATCCAACACACAAACATTGTGAAAAAGACAGCATTCTCAGGGGCTACCGACCCAGTTTCTCCATTTTTCCAGGGGGGCCCATCCATTTTCCAGGGCATGTTACATAACAATGATAGCGCGTGCTCCATTTATACAAACACACACACTCACACACATGCGCGCGCCTCTAGGTACACTATATGTAGTCAACAAAATGTAAGTGAGGCACTGGAGTCTTGTGTGACTGAGGTATTCCACGTCACTGGCCCTCAACAGACACAAAAGACACACTGTTCCCTCCACAGACACAAAAGACACACTGTTCCCCCCACAGACACAAAAGACACACTGTTCTCCCCACAGACACAAAAGACACACTGTTCCCCCCACAGACACAAAAGACACACTGTTCTCCCCACAGACACAAAAGACACACTGTTCTCTCCACAGACACAAAAGACACACTGTTCCCCCCACAGACACAAAAGACACACCATTCCCCCCACAGACACAAAAGACACACTGTTCCCCCCACAGACACAAAAGACACACTGTTCCCCCCACAGACACAAAAGACACACTGTTCCCCCCACAGACACAAAAGACACACTGTTCCCTCCACAGACACAAAAGACACACTGTTCTCCCCACAGACACAAAAGACACACTGTTCCCCCCACAGACACAAAAGACACACTGTTCCCTCCACAGCCAGAGTTACCTCTGGGTGCGGCCAGCTTGATGCCACGAGACCCCGCCCAGTTGACAGGGAAGATGAGGGAGAAGTTTCTGTGGCAGCGGTACTGAGTTCTGGCCGGGGCTGGGGGGTCAAGGTCGCACAAACTGTCGATCTCCACGATGAAATACTTGCAGTCCACAACCCTCACCACCGTGGCCGGGCAGATGTTCCCGTTTTTCGTGTCGACGACCTCCAGCTTCATGCCCACCTCAAAACTGTGGGGCTCGATGGGGGTCTGGTCCTGACAGGGAAAGAGCAATACCGATGGTCTAAGGCAAAACATGTGGTAAATGTACAGAGCTGGCATTCCTATGAGGATTTGATCCTGAACAGTAAACAATACTAATGGTTTTTTTTGTATTTTTAAAGTAAGAGTTTTACGGCACTTGTTTTTAGTTTAGTTTTAGTAAGAGTTTTACGGCACTTGCAACAGAATAGGATCATTTAAGTGCTGAAGACAAGAGGTGTTACAAGAGAGTAACAAACACAAAAAAAGGAGGGGAGATAACAGCAATAGTTGTCTGATAGGGAAGAAGAAGCAAACCACACCAGAGCACCCGCCAACCACCCACAATACAGTAAAAAAAATTATTTTAAAGGTAAGAGTTCTACGACACTTGCAACACAATAAGGTCACAAAAGTGCCGAAGATTAGATGTGTAAAAAAAAAAATAACAAGCAGAAAAAAGGAAGAGAGATACGGAATGAACTATAGAGGTTTGACAGGAAAGAAGGAGAAAAACCACACAAGAGAACCCACCAACCACCGACATACAAAAGTTCTTTGGCAAATCACATGATAAATGTACATAGCGGGCATTCCTATGTCGATTTGATCCTGAAAAGTAAACAATACCAATTTTCTACATTTTTTGTTAGCTTTAGTAAGAGTTTTGCAGCACTTGTAACACAAATTGGTCGTACAAATGCCGAAGACTTCAAATAAGTCAGAAAACACAGACAGAAAGAAGAGTATGACCATTATTATGACAAAGTAGTTTTGGATGCTGTTTCTAAAATGTGTTAAAAAAAAAAAAAAATGGCATTTGAATTTACCACTGTCTGTGATTAAAATACTAGATCTAATAGTAAAAACTGCTTTAAGAAAAAAAAAAAAGGCAGTTTAAAACTGGACAACAGGAGCCAAGAAAATACCACATAGAGATAAAAACTCCATATAATACTCTAAGATAACTGAATGAGACTCTGAGTATAACCCACAGTTATCCCACTTACATTGAAAATGTCGTCAGGCAAGTTCTGGTCTGCGACACTCGACAGAGTAGACTTCAGAATGTTGAGAAGTTCCTCTTCCGTTTTCCCCGACGCCTCTTGCACGGCTGAAAAAAAATAAATTCACAAAAAGCTGAGTAAAAAAATCATTTCTGATCAAAAAGTATAAGAAAAATAGGTGACTTTGAGTGGAACAAAATATATTAACTCAAGTTCTAGGAACAACCCACTGGAATAAAAAAACCCACCCCCCCAACATACGCTAACAAACACAGCAAACACAGATGTGTACCAACCTTGAGGCACGGCGTACGTGTAGCCCTCTCTCTCGCCCCAGCCAATCGGGTGCAGCCGGTCGTCCAGATAAAACATCCAGAAGTCGTGCGCCCCCGCCTCCACGCCCTCGTGCCTCAGGTAGAGCCGACCCCCGACGTTCTCCACGACCTTGACCAGCCACAGACAGTCCGGGCGAAGTTCCTCCTGAACCTCCAGCCTCATGCCTTCCTTGATCTGATCCACCGGGGTCGCTCCCGTCGACTGAACAAAAATTCAAAAAAATAAATTAATAAATAATAAATGACATTTTAGTTTAAGTTTTAGTAGAGGTTTTACTGCGCTCGCAACTGCATAAGGCGAGATGAGCGCCAGAAGATTAGAGGTGTTACAAGAGAGTAACAAACATAAAAAAGAAGAAGGGGAGATAAGGACGATAGATGTTTGATAGGAAAGAAGGAGCAACATTTGTATAAACGAACAAATAATAATAATAAATGACATTTATACAGCGCTCAACCCCTATTAAAGTACACGGGCTCTGAGCGCTTTACAATACAATACAACGTACAACAGTACCATAAAACGTGTTCTGACTTAAAGAAAATCACTCTGAATATTCATCTTATTCATTTAAAAACAGAAAAGACTTCAGCTGACATTTGAATGAATCAAAAGTTTTGAAAGAAAATGAAATAAAGGGTTGTAAAAAAAGCAACTTGTGTAAACAAATGTGTGTGTGGCTGAAGAAAGGCCCCCAGTTGTCGGAAATTTTGGATACTAAAGTAGGAGCATACTCTTGTAGCAAATTTAATTCGGAACACGATGAAATGTAAATATTTCTAACATCTTGAGTATTTTAAAGATAAGCCGCATATTGTAACACAGGGTGTTAAAAAACGGAGAAAACTCCATTTTCTAGCGCATTTTGAACCTTTGGTGAAACACAGCATGTTGCAAAAATAACAAATTCAAAATATTTAGACTTAAAATATGAAAGTTCATGGTTTGATGTGCATTTACTGATGAGTCCGGGCTCAAAGGGTTAAGAGTGACACAGAAGACATAGAAGATACAGAAAACCATTCATATCTATGAACAGAAAATATGTAATACAGATAACCATTCATATCTATGAAATGAAAATAATAAATAAAACCATGGCAAAACTTCGATCAATGAATCAAAGAACACAACGAGAAAATTTGATCAAAGAACACGAGAGACAGAACTTTGATCCATGAATCAACGAACACAAGGACAGACTTTGATCAATGATCACAACAAGGGACAGAACTCAGGAAGGAGCAGACGTACCTTGTCCAGCAAGTACGACGGTGCAGACGTGGCGTCTTTCAGACATTTGCTCAGATATTGCTGCCAGTTAGGAAACTTTTCTTTGATAACTGAAACACAAATTGATTCATTTGAACAAGCAGGCGCATATTTATATACAAAGCATTATTGATACATTTCCAAAACTCCATTTTTTACCAAATCAGAAATACAATATGTATACATCAGCTACAACTTTTTATTTCTACCCAATATCTTGGAAATCATTTTTTTTTTAAGTAAAAAGGTTTTACGGCACTCGCAACCGCATAAGGTCATATGACCGCCAGAAGATAAGATGTGTCACAAGAGAGTAACAGACACAAAAAAGAAAAAGGGGAGATATGGATGATACATGTTTGATAGGAAAGAAGGAGCAAACCACATCAGAGCACCCGCCAACCACTCACTCACCTGTTTATTTGTTGGCATACCAGTAAATTAGGAAGAACAACAGAATTCATTGTTACATCTCAGTGAAGGACACACACACGGAAGGACAGTCTACAAAATAAAAATTATAAAAAAAACCCCAGCACAACGAAACAAAATTAACTGATATAATCTCCCCGCACCAAAAAAAGAACCCATGTTTTAATTTAATATTTTGAAATCACATTTTGTGGAAAACCCAAAGAAACTGGGCGGTAAACATCGCCAATCGGCGAGAGGAGGTGGCAAAGTGTTAACAGAAAAAAGTCGGCTCAACAATAACTACACATTAAAAAACAACGACACGACATCATCATCGGTGTTACCATCTGGGGGTTGCACAGTCTTGCCGTTCTCCTCACACCAGCCCAGGGGGTGCACGTCAGAGGTCATGGGGTCGCTCCAGAAGTCTGCCGAGCTGTTGTCCTGGTACCCCTCGTAGCGCAGGCGTAGCAGCGGCCCGCAGGTCATGACGATGGTGGCCACCCAGTAAGTGTTGGGGGACAGCTTGTTGGGGGCCTCCAGCTTCATGCCTTTGGAGAAGCCGCTCTGTAAGCTGATCTCAACCTGAGAAAAGGGACATTTTGTAGGGATTGGTAGTCGTAGGGATTTCTCTTCCTCCTTCCATTATTCAAATTCCCACCACTGTGTAAGCCCATCTCAACTTGATTAAAGGGACATTCATATGACCTTATGCTGTTGCAAGCGCCGTAAAACCTCTACAAAAAACTAAAAAGGGACATTTTGTCGTGATTGGTATTTGTAGGGATTTCCCTTCCTCCTTCCATTCATGACTCAGTTTGTACTAGTAAGAGTTTTGCGTCAATTGCATCACTATATAAGGCTACGGCCATACCAGTACCCAAGATTAGCACTACAGGAGAGTAACAAACACAAAAAGGAGGAGAGATCAGGACGACAGATGTTTGATAGGAAAGAAGGAGGAGAGATCAGGACGACAGATGTTTGATAGGAGGGAAGAAGAAGCAATCGGCACCAGAGCACCTGCCAACCACCCACTTCCAGGACTCATATATATATTCCCAATACCATCTCCAAAACAAAATTTTAAGAAAAGCCCACCAACCTCATTCCTGTTTTAACAAGAGCATACAAAGGAGCACCTCCGACCCAACTACAACTCAAAGCTCTTAAGAAAAAATAAAATACAACAACACTACAAATCAAAATGCAGTTTCGCACCATCACTAAACATTACCAGGCTGCAAATATCAGCAAACTATTATGCAATGTTTACTGAACTTCCACAGTCCGCTGAATGTTTGTCAGATATTTTACTAGCCCCCCCCAAAAAAAATGGGCAGTTTGAATTTCCTCAACCTACTTAAATTTTAAGATGCATTTGAACAAAATTTAAAGCTCTTCTCATATGAAAAACGTAAACAATAAGTGAAATCAGCAGTGGGCATTTGAGCATTACAGCATCATCATCGTTACCATCATCACCAACGAAACAATTCCTCTTTTTCTTGTTTGTTCTTTTTCTTTAAACAAAACAATTTGCACCATGTCGATACATTTTTATGTAACCTACAAATATTGACATCAAAATCAGGGCACGGGACAGAAATAAAAGCGGTGGGCATTTTGACAGAATGATCGCAAACCTTATTTCAGGATTTGACCCTGCAGACAAAAGCCTGTGTCTCCCCGCGACACCCCCCCGGTACAAGCAGAAAAAAAAAGTAAAAAAAAAAAGTAAAGTAAGTTGCTATGAAAACATCTCACAAAAGCGGTAGTAAAGAAATTTTCTTCGAGTGCCAAAAAGTACCCAGCACAATCAGTATTGGCTGGGCCCGAGGAATGAAAGACTAAAGGCATTATACCTGGGCCCGAGGAATGAAAGACTAAAGGCATTATACCTGGGCCTGAGGGAAGTGAGGGCTCAGAATGATCAGCGGCTGTACTGTAACGGTTAACTCTTTCACTATCAGGAAGTCCCCCCCCGGACAGGGCCCTAGCTGTGACCTACTTTCTGACTCCGCCTACCATCGGACAATTAATTAAAGATTTTGAGTTCAATTTTCAATTTTAGTGAGATATGAAAATAAAGGTGAAATGAGATTTAAATTTTTATTGTTACAAAAGTAGGCGGGCATGGTTTTGAAGCAGGAAGTGGGGAGCCGCCAAATACGGCCCATGGTAGTAAAAGAGTTTTAAAACCCCAGACTATCGGGACACAGAAAATAGGAGTTTAACAAAATGTCCGGCGACTCACATGCTTGAAAGCTGTCGGGGGTACAGCCGTGGCTCCGGTCTCTCGCAAGTAATCCTCCCACACAAACTCTGTCTCTTCAAGGTCCTCCACTGCCAGAGAAAATATGGATGTCAAGGATGGCGGCAACAATTACAACGAATTAAAGGCAATTCAACAGTTACAGCGAATTATAGGGGATTCAACGATTACAGCGAATTATAGGGGATTCAACGATTACAGCGAATTATAGGGGATTCAACGATTACAGCGAATTATAGGGGATTCAACAATTACAACGAATTAAAGGCAATTCAACAGTTACAGCGAATTATAGGGGATTCAACAATTACAACGAATTAAAGGCTATTCAACAGTTACAGCGAATTATAGGTGATTCAACAATTACAGGGGATTCAACGATTACAGCCAATTACAGGGGATTCAACGATTACAGCGAATTATAGGGGATTCAACGATTACAGCCAATTACAGGGGATTCAACGATTACAGCGAATTATAGGGGATTCAACGATTACAGCGAATTACAGGGGATTCAACAATTACAGCGAATTACAGGGGATTCAACGATTACAGCCAATTACAGGGGATTCAACGATTACAGCGAATTCAACATTTACAGCCAATTACAGGGGATTCAACGATTACAGCCAATTATAGGGGATTCAACAATTACAGCGAATTATAGGGGATTCAACATTTACAGCCAATTATAGGGGATTCAACAAGACAGCGAATTATAGGTGATTCAACAATTACAGGGGATTCAACAATTACAGCGAATTACAGGCGATTCAACAGTTACAGCCAATTATAGGTGATTCAACAGTTACAGGGAATTATCTAGCGATTCAACAATTACAGCGAATTAAACGCAATTCAACAATTACAGGGGATTCAACAGTTACAGGGAATTATAGGTGATTTCCAGGTTGAGAACCACAGATACAGGGTGCACGGAAGTGGAACCAAATTGGACAAAAGAATATTAATTAATCCACAGACAGAAAAAGAGGCTAAAACAGCACCTGGACATGGATGGCTGGTGCCTCTATAAATAAATCATAGATCTTGGTCTACAGGCTAAAACAGCACCTGGACATGGATGGCTGGTGCCTCTATAAATAATTGATGGTCAAGGTAGTTGCAAAATAATTTTTACATCATCTTGTGAAGTTTCATAGCTCTATCCTAATTTTTGTTAGCAGTGAGTCAGCAATTTAGTGGCAATGGTACAAATTAATCCCCCCCCCCCCGGCATTCATTAAAAAACCAACCCCATAGTTTATTATATAGTGACAGTACAGTGGTCTCGAGAAAATTATGAGCTATTGTCAATCAGAAGAAGGTGTAAGTAAGTCTTCTAGAATGCAGTTGGAGCCAGAAACTTAAGCAGTAATTCTTATCAAAATTTTGGATTGCTTCATTTCTCATTTGTACTTTCCTAAAATGTCAAATTCATATTACCTTGCTTTCCTGTGAATTGTTGTGCTCAGGGCATAGAGAAACCATACACAGGTAAAGAATATAATATATATTTCGTGACTCTTTGGAGCAGAGGAAGATAGGACAAACGCTAACATTGTACTTAAACGCAATCCCACATCATCACTCATCACCACCATTATTTCTAAAATTATCATTGTTCTCAGATCAATGACTTATCTATAATCCTGGAATCTCTATCTGTAACAGTTATTTGTCATACTAAGTGTGCATGTAATACACTATTGGACACTTTTTTTTTTTTAAAGTAAAGAATATAATCCTATATTTGTTCGACCCTCAAGTAACTGCACTCACCATCAGCCAATTCTCCTTGAGCATCTCCTTTGGAATGAAGAGAAGGGTCTTTGAGGGACCCAGAGTTTTTTGCAAGCTCCACATTCTCAAATGGGGATGGTGAACATTTGCTGCTTTCATCATCTGGATAGTCACCGTCAGCATTTGTGAATGGTTCTGTTTTGATGATCAAAGGACTTTGTGGAGACGCCTGGTTCCCAACTTCCGGGAGTCCAGAATTGGAGTTATCATCTTCCCCATCAGCATTACCGTCATAACTATTATCGTCATCAGCCGCAGTGGGAGAACCCTTGTTGCCCTGAGGATCGGGCGCTTTGGAGTCTACGGGGGTAAACTTCATGCGAGCACAGGGCACAACGAGCGCAACCTCCGGCTTTCCCTCCACGAGGTCTGCAGCATCAGCAGCGACATGAGGGCCTTTCAGAGTCCCGTTCTCCACGTCGCTACATTTATTGTCCACAGCCCCGGGCGAGGGAGAGGGGGGCACGAGCACGAACGCGCTGGGGGTACTGCTGCTCACGATGTTGGAAGCCTCGGCGTGCGAGTCCTGCGTCTGGTGGCACGAGGGGTTCGCGTCGGGAACGGTGAGACTCACACCGGTCGTGTCCGGGGAGGGCTGGCTGCTCACTTCCGTGGGCTTGATGAGGGGAGCCACGCTCATGGCCGGGGAGGGGAACGAGAAGACGGAGACGGGCTGGGAGCTGAGCGAGACCGTGTTGTTGGAGCGAGCAACGCCCACCTGTTGAGTCTGGGAGGCCGGCCGCGCAGAATCTACCACCAACGGCTGGGACACGGGGGCTGTCTCGATGGGCCGGGACTGGGGAGGTGGAACAGCGTTGATGGTGGAGAAGAGAGAGGGTTGGTTGCTCAGCATGATCGGGAACTGGTTGAACGGATTGGACAGGAACTGGCTCTGTGTGCCGCTGGGCCCTGATACCGTGATCAAGGTCGGGCTGACAAAGTTCAGATTCTGAGCAGCAGCGTCGGACGAGCAGACGACCTGACCCATGGGGAGGGGCTGCGTGGCCAGGCTGAGGCTGGAAGGGACTTGGCTGAGGGTGACGGACTGGGGCACGGGGAGGTTCCCAGCTTGTGGGGGCGGGGGCTGCGGCTGGTTCAAGGACAACGACAACGTCTGCTGCTGGGGCACGTTCAGTGGCTGAACAAACTGCGTGGGCATCGCTGTCTGGTTCACGCTGAACATGGGGCCGATGGGCATCGGAGTGAGGTGGGGCTGGGTGGCGCTGTTGACCACATTTGGCGGGACGGCAATCGGCGTCATGTTGCTGGCGCTCGGGAAACAGAAGTTGTGGGCCACCGACATCATGGCGCCAGAGTTGGCAGGGTTCACAAGAGAGGGATCCATGATGAGTTCAGAGCCGATTGTTTTCCAAACTACGTAAAACAGACCACAACAATTGTGCAACAAGCAAGCATCGTTGGAGGTCTCTTGTCCAACAACAAGCCAAGACCTGGCGAGGTCACACTAACTGAATATCAATAAACGAATTTGTCTTAGGACTTCTAGGATCAGTGTTGATGCTCACTCTGTGAAGAGAAAAATGAAACACTCCGTTCAGTCACAACTTAAAGAACACAACAAAATTCAAAAGCAAAACAAAGAGACAAAATCATGTGATGCACTGCATCAAGTCTATTTGAACTTAGAAACAAGATACACAATCAAACAAGGAGAGTGTTATCATTTAAAAAAAATATAATATTACACAAGCTAACCTAAAAAAATTTCATAGAAAAATGAAGGCTATGCAACAACAACAACAACAAATAAGAATTTATAACAAAAACCAAAAAGACAAAAAGATTAAACTAACAAACTGACAGTAACTTCAAGTGTCAGTTTGCACTAACACCTAGATCTATCTAAGTCATCGAAATTGTTCTCCCTCCCTCCAACAATATTTTTCATTGGGTATTTTTTGTCTCCCGCCCCCCTGCCGTTTCTGCACGATCCTCTGTCTCTTCTCATTAATCTCATACAAGCTTGAGGCGGGGGAGTGGGTGGGTGTTTTTTTCTCATTACTCACTTTTTTTTAGATCTAGATCATCTAGTCTAGATCAAGATGATATTTTTATTAAATATAAAATTATTCCATCACATTTTAAAAATATATTGATCTAGAATCTAGATCTCTCTCTCTATATATAATACTATCTAGACTAGGAACAATCTAGTCTCTACTTATCGATCATTCACAGAGAGATGTAAATTATCATCATTATGCAACTAACTTACAGACAAAAAGGAAAGTTAGAGAGAAAAATAATGGAAAATGAACAGGTATAGATCTAGATCTAGTATGCCTGAGCCTGCACTTTCTTTAGATCAATGGTATCTCTGTAAATGAATAGAATAGAAAAATTATTATCTCTAGCCTATTATAACTATATCTAGATCTAGATCTAGATCTAGATCTTTCCAATTTCGTTCCTCAATTTTATTTTAAGTCCGTAGAGCATTTGAATGTCAAAATAGAACTGACAATATGAAACAGAGGCCTGCAACCATTCAAATATATTCATTTAAAAAAAAAGAAATCACGGGAGTCTGTTGTTTCAATCCTCCGGTCTCCAAGAATAATAGATCTATTCTAGATCTAGAATCTAGATATATATGTATATCTAGATAAAATACGTCTCTCTACATCCAAGTTCTACTCCTTTTGGGTTGTGCTGAAATTATTTTCATTATAATGCGTTGTTCGAGTTTAAAAACAAACAAAACAAAACAACACTCCATCTAGACACAGGCTTATTTTAAAGACCTTCATTTACTTAATAAGAATTGAGTACCTCAGTCAAGAAAATGTTATTCTTCATTTGCATCATCATCATATGTAAGGACAATACCAACCACCCTGGCCTCCATGTCAACATCAAATCGATGAGTGAAAAAAAAGGGGAAAAACTAGGACGGTCTTGATTGATGAACCCTGGATCAAGATCTTTACTCTTCGATAAATTCAAATGCAATAACAGGAACGAAAAAGAAATGCCCCTGCTAAAATATTACGAAGAAACTTAAGCTTCACAATGCTACATTATTCTCTTACGTCCATCTTGTGAAATACCAAAATAATTGACAATCACACCGTCTTCATACTCATGGAGCAAAGGTTCACAACACCATTGCGCCCCGAGAGCCCATAGCTTTACTATTGCACTTCCGCTGAAAAATTAACCGAGACGTTTTGACTGCATTATGAATTTCGTTTTAAAATCTACTTACCTTGTTGCAGAGCAGGAAAAAACATTTTAACGTGTTCTGTCAAACTTCAACACTCTTTTATTTTAAAAGAAAAGCGTAAAATACAATTCCATCGCTGCAAATTAGTTGTAAATTAACCCGGTGTCCCCTTGTTCGTCCACGGAGAGACCAAGATGGCACCGTATTCAAACGCATGCGCACATAACAATGCTTCTATTTTTGGAATATTGTTTATGTTTTACCACGTGGTAAAATTTTGACGAATCATGAAGGTTCGATTAGCCTTCAGACTTTGACAGCTGTGTACTTTCCTCGATCTTCGAAAATAAACATCCACACGTTTAAATTAAAATTTAAAAAACAAATAGATCTAGATCTTAGCTGGTGGTACTAAACATTACAGGACAGTTGTTCGTATTGCTTGTCGATGTTTGCATCAATTCGTCGTGCGAGACTGTGCGTTCTTGAGTATAACGCACAGAATTCTAAGTGTAGAATTCTGTGGTATAACGTAAATTTGGCCAACACGCTGCAGTGTTTTCAGCCGCCCTAGACTGTCGACTGTCGACTGTCAGCGGATCGAGTGGCATTCTGTTTGTGTTAACAGCACAAGTTAAAAAGTATGGTCAGTCCGCAGTCCTTCTGTGTGGTTATGAATGCTGGACAATAGCTAAAGACAGTGAAAATAAAAAAGAGGCAGCGGATAGTATAATTCTTTGGAGACTGGCTGAGAAGGAAATGAAATCAAATGAGGTAGTGCTTGATGAAGTCCACGTGGGACGCTCAATGTTCAAAACGATCAGGAAACGACAAATCCAGTTTTTGGGACTCCTGAATAGACATAAAGAAATGAATGGGGAGAACAATGATCGTCGATTAGAAAAACTTCATAATTATAAAGAAATCCTTAGGTAATTTACGATTTAAACAACAGGGCCCCACTGCTTCCAAAAAATGTTAAACTTTGAAAAGAGAATGAAAGCAGGAAGTCCTAGGGATAAAGAATTGAGTTAGTCTGGATGGACGGTAGTAGCGACAGCGACGCTATCAATGGCAGCGTTTTAGAAGTGGGCTTGACAATCACGTTTTGAACACGTGATATTTTTGCATCTTTTGGTTACTTTATCGAAGAGAATAATAATGATCACATCAAGTAACAATGCAGAGTCTACACGTGGTATGTGTATTATTATTTCTTGCTTTTAGTCAGAATGCAGCGATAGATCTATGTGGACTTGGCCTCTGTATGAAACCACAATGTTAGGTTTGAATCTGAGCGATGTGGATATTCATTTTCTACTTTTCCTTCCATACCTTACGTGTGCGCCGTGTTCAGTTGGCGTCGTGTGGTGCAGATAACTCTGGTGTGTGTGTGTGTGTGTGTGTGTGTGTGTGTGTGTGTGTGTGTGTGTGTG